ATTATCTGATGACCTCCTGAATTTAACTAAACCCAAATCCTGCCCCTGATGAATGTTACTACTGATCCCAGTAGACAGACTCAGCATACTGTATCTAAATAAAATGTGATCATCTATGATATGGGGCCCACCATGTTATTACAGTGAGTGATTCAGCACATTTTGTAACAAAGAAAAACATTCAGTCCAGTAAGCATGGTGTAATTATCTAATAGACAACTGGAAGCAATTCTCCTTTTTCCGAAAACGTTTTATCTTTATAGTGGCACTGAAACTGGATCGCCTACCACTGGAACTGATTAACCCCTTCTAACAGGACTGGCCTCAGGCCAGCGTCTTTCCCTGACTCAAGCAGTTGGTTCACTTTCCAAGGTGTCACTGATACACTTTACCCTTCAGCATGAGTGTCTTAACTGCCATTGTGGCCTTGGTGTCGTCAGTCAATGACAGCCAGAAGGACAAACAGCGGTCACCTGAACATCAGATATCAACCGTTTTGTAATTCAATCTAAATTGAGACTTTGCTAGCCAAGTATCCATATCATTTGTCGTGATTGTTAATGGATCGTTAGAAACGTAATGTTCATTATGGACTGAAAGAGATGTAAACTAATCTAGCCGGCTACTGGAGAAGTCATTATTGTGTAATACTAACTGTGTAAAACCATTAGGACTTTCGGAGGAGTTCAAAAAATACAGCAAGTCATGCATATTTGTTTAAATGTGTATCGCCTCACATCACCCATGATTCCCTGATTATATTTATTCACATTCAAGTCCTCAGATCCTAAAGGTCAACTAAATGGTATTAATAAACAAAGTAAGTAAGTAATTAAAGTGGAACTGCAAAAAGGAAGGTAATGCCGTAATAACCCATAACTGATTATTACACAGTGTTCTGCAGCTTATAGATATCTCATTGAAAACTGTTCAAAAGTCATATGAAATACTTCAGAGCAAAAATGACTACTTGGATTTTAATCAGTAAAAGTATTAAAAGTAGAAGTATTGTGCCTGTGAATTGTGCTTTTCAAAGAGCCACATATCTATTTAGAGAGCAAAGTGTGTGAATATGATCTTTACCACTTCCCTGAACTATTGATTTCCTGATCATATTACATTCACACCCCAAATCATAAAAGTTGGAGGACTATGGGTCACAACTGAATGAATGTGATGCATTACAATAAGTCAAGACTGTAATGTGAAAAATTATGAATTTATGCATCACTCTGACTATAAAGTTTGAAAACATCCTCCATCAGCAACCTTGAAATGGAATATTAACTTTTCATTATATGCAGGATATTTGGTAGGATAAGTAAGATGGTTAATGGAATATTATATTTATTATATTATTTAAATATGTTATTTTTATATTATATAATAATAAAGAAAATAACTGACAAAAACAGTTTAATGAAGTAGTACAGTTAAATTATTATTATTATATTAATTATCCTATAAATAGTACTTCACATGTCTCTGAAAATCCCAGAATCCAACAAAGAGAATAAATTCCACTTGTATGTGTATCTGCATGTGTTTAATTATGTGTTGACATGAACTCTGATTAGTCTATAGTTTTCCACTCTGGCCACACAGAGTGATCAGCAGCCAAAGCTAACTCCTCTGATTGAGTGACTTGGTTTTGTTTGGCCAGTTGTGTCTGTCTGGCTACAGCTCACTCCATTACAACCCTAGATGACTAATTAATGGTCCCGGGACAGGTGACACCGGCTCCTCAAGATCCATTTACACCCTCATCACCACAAGGGCTCTGACTGGGCTCCGCTGCACTTTTTCACTTCTCCCTTAACTCCATCCTCTCTTCTCCTCGCTCATCCCCTCATCTCTTATTCATCTGGTGGTGGAGTACTGTTTAAGAAGCAGGTCTGCGGATAGACAGATGGGCAGATTGAGAGATAGATGGAGCAGACAAATAAAGGTACGGACTACATTTGGGTTGGGAGAGAGACAGAAATGGGCGATGTGAAACTATCTTTACTGTTTTTTTTAAAAACTATCTGAGGTATTTTGCAGTAGTTTGTCCAGAGGGGAGATAGATGAACCCTGATCTCCACCTGCCTGCGAGCCAAGCACACCCACACTTATCTCTGAAGAGTTTTATGTTGGGTCAGATAGTATTAGACCTCATGGGAGAATGTGTGAGTGTGTGTGTAAGTGTGAGTGTAAAGGACATGATTCACAGTTGCTACAGAGTCCTTCAACTTTTCAACCCAGCTGCTTTTTCAAGTGATGGACACTATCAAACACACACACACACACACACACACACACACACCCACACAGTGCAAGGAGAAAGATTAAGGACGATTTTAGATGAAACTACTGTTACCCATGAGCACTCTGGTGTACCACAGCACATCCCCTGGCACCCATCTAATGGACAGAAGCAGTATACGTGTGTGTGCCTCTAGCCAGTAATGATCCTGCACATACAAAAGCTCCTTGAGCTTCATAGTTAAGAGAGTTATGTCTCTATAGAGAAGGAAAGAAAATTTCACTTTTATTAAAGCTTAAAGTCCTTTTCATGCAAAACTTAAATGAACATTGCTAATCTGTCAAAGGTAAGAAGAACGGCAGACTCCATTGAAGATGTAATACTGTAACTACTACAGTATGTCAAACTACTTTCTCCTTCCCACAGTATTAAACAGACCACTCTGTTATTTAAAGGTCATGATTTTAGAAGGGTTTCTGAATGCAGCAAGAAAATGGTTCAAGCCTTGCAGTATATAATATGCAGTGTAATAGAACAGCAAACTCAAACTCCTGCTTCAAACATTAATATACAGTACAGTTTATGGTATTGTGTCCATCCCCACCTTATCCATAAACAATAATATAATGTAGCTCATTACAACACATTTTTGCACAAGGGTCAATCTATGTAAATGTCTGTTGTGTCAATAAAGGTGCTACATAATTTTTAGGCTATTTTATAATGGCGCATCTTCACACAGCAGTCTCTGTGTGTGATATTGTGCCAGAGAGATGATCGAGGTGCATATAATGTCTCTGATAGCCTAAGAGTTTGGGTAGAGCCATGCATTGGGAGATCTACACTTACTTTACCAACTATCCTGTGCACTGTGGTACCCTCAGGCCTTGAAGACTGTTTTTACATGCTGTATATATGCTTGTGTCCTTTATTTGGGCCGTAAGTCCAGCATGTGTCAGTCATGTACCAGCTGGAGGGAGGACAGAGGACAGATCAGCTTGGCTGTTAAAACAAGGTTAATGAATGACGAATGACGTGGCAAGGATGAAGGAATAAAGTCTAAATGTGAGAGTGGATAGCAGGAGCAATTTGCAGTGGACATATACTTCTACACATAACACACAAAAAATGTAATCATGCTCACGTGCAAAAACAGTATGCAGCTGCTAATTTAGCACTGAAGCTGGCAGAAATAACCACACCTGAGGATAGGAGGGAAACTTGCACGCCAAGGTTACTGGCAACTGGTCGCACACCCACAAGTTTACACACACATACACATACACACACTGTAGTCAGGAGATAGGGATGGGCAGCCTTGAGTAAATCAATTACGAGGTTCAGTGTCAAGTTGAAGGCCACGAGGAGGGCACCATAACAATATCCCAGCAACGGCCTGTGAATAGCAGCCACCACTAAATCAGCTCTCTGCACCGGCAGATAGAGTGGACACCTGTGGAGAAGGCGAAAGGGTCCTGAGAGGAGAAGAGAAGGACTGAGCAGATGTCCTTGTTTGTTTGGAGGAAGAAATACTATCCCATATGCCTTAATAGGCAAAACAACCTGACATTAATATGGCCCTTTGTGCTTATCGGGAGCACCAGCAGTAGGGCCATTCTCCATCATTCTCTATCTCCTTCTTTCTGGTTGTCTCTCTGTCTCCCAGTGTCTATATTTACATCCCAACCAAAGCCATTTCTGTCCATCCGTTCCAGATTTAGTGCTCTTGGGCACGACAGCAAAAGTGCAATCAGCTCAAGACTCCCTAGTGCCATGGCCCCTGTTTAATACAAACAAACACTAGTACTAAATGGCTCCTATGGGTCCTATTGTCCTTTAAAGGAATGGTTTGTCATTTTGGGAAGTGCACTTATTTGCATTCTTGCTGAGAGTCTAATATGTGCTCATTTTAATTTATGATATCAGTAGCATCACTGAGTCAGTTAGGATTCTGTAAATTTGTAACAAGAATGGATATACTGAATATACACTATAGTGTATAAGTATGCGGTTTGGGGTATATGGAGTTTTGGTCTGGGACTGTTTTTCATGGTTTGGGCCCCTTGCTTCCAATTAAGGGAGATTTCAATGTTACAGCATACACTGAGATTTTAGATAACATTGCGCCTCCAACTTTGGGCCAATGTCCAAAAAGAATTGTTTTTTCCAGTTTGGTGTGAAAGAATTTGCCCGGCCTCCACCTCATCCAACACCCTCAGGATAACTGAGACCCGAAGAGGTTATTTCCCAACATCAGTTCCTAACCCATGCTGCTGTGGCTTTCATGGGTGTAAAGCCCTGCAACCAGAGGATCCAAAATCTTGTGGAGTGGAAGGTGCTGTAGCAGCCGATTATTGGCCATGGTTTTAGAAAGAGATTGTAAACAAACTTGTTTGGGGTGTCCTCATACTTTTAGCTTCTGAATATAACTGCGTATATAGAGCTAACCCTGTGAGACTAGCATATACTACATTTACTAAATAAGCCAGTTACTATACTGTACACACTGTACTTTTGACTTTTCTGTGCAGTTTCAAAGAAATGTCATCATAAGCCTGAAGAAAACTGAAGGCTTTGGACAGAACACACACATACATGCACACAAACACAAACACACACACACACACACACACACACACACACACACCATGGTCTTTGTCTTGGTGTGTGCTCTCAGTCAACCAGCAAACACACACACACACACACACACAGAAAGAAAGAGTGAAAAAGAAGAACAGTTGTGTTTATTGTGACCATGACCAGGTGTCAGTGGGGATGTTCAATGACAGCTTACTCTGCATCTGCTCCAATTAACTAAACCCCAAATGGTTTGATCTGAACTTTTTTTTTGTCATACTGAAAGTTATTTTTGTATCCTGTGTCTTTAATAAACAGGACCACACACATGTGACAGTGAGGGGTGGATACTGTTAAGTAGTATTTGTCCTTCATTTCTTAACCATTTCCACCAAATCTGTCTGTTTTTATCTTAAACCTTTGCTCACTTCACTTTCCTTCCTCCCTTCTTTCTGCACTTAGAACTGCACTGCGCTGCCATTTGGAGCTCTCCATGGTGCTGAACCTCTCATAGTCTCTTCCTGTCTCCTTCTTTATTTCTTTTTCTTTCTCAGTTCATGTTGTGTTTGTTGTCAGTTTAAACAACTAAGGCTTACTTCTCTTTTCTTCTTTCCTTCCTTACATCTTTCTATTTAACGGCTTCTTCTTTCCTCGTATCCTTTTGGGCACAGAACAACAGAAGTAGCTCATTAGGAGGTACTGTAGTGCTCTGTAGAGCTGTTCGTGGTGCTGAACCTCTAACTGGCTCTCTTTCTATGAGCAGACTTTCTTTCTCTCTATCTCTCTTTCTTTCTTGCTGACCATTAACATACTTGATTAAACTCCATCTGCTTCTGTCTTATTTATGTGTCCTTTACTAACCACTTTGTTCAGCTGGGTTGGTGGAGTCAAAACATTGTCACCACTTCCATGATAAAACATGCACTATACCATGGCTCCTTCCAGACACAATATAGCTCAATTAGGAGATAATTCACTTCACCCTCATTACTTCCAGGCTTAAACGTTTCATCTCCTTGTTTCCGGTTAAGTAATGAGAAACCAGTCCCATGTCCGTCCAGCGCCAAATGCCCCATGCAAATTTCAGTGTTGGAAGCGGTTTATGTATTCAAGCTTATTGATTTGTTTGCCAACTCTATACTGTAGACGTGAAAAGCGTGACCAACTCCCTGAAAGCGAGTTTTCTTTCTTTGGAAAAGGGATCAATGACAAGGCCCCATTAAACTGGCTACACTGGCCGCACATAATTACAGCAACTGATTTGCAACAAACACAATGTGCCATAAATTAGGTCTGTAATAATGGAAACGTGGCGTGAGAAGGAAACAACCAACTCTTTTGAAGATTAAATTATCCTACAGCCAGCTCATTTTCATTCAAACTGGGTTTGACGCAACAATACACTCAGGAGGGTGTCTTTAGTCAAACCAAAATGTGGCCATTAAAACCATTTTACTCTTTCATATGTAAGTAAATTGCCTTCTGTGCTAATCCTATTTCCTATCAAAGATAATAACTATATAAGAGGATGATTTGGGAGTGCTGTCGCGTACATCTCTCTCTCTCGCTCTCTCTCTCTCTCTCTCTCTCTCTCTCCTCTCTCTCTCTCAGTGACAGGCGTCAAAAATACCACCAA